GAACTTATGGGACACAATGAAAATAGTTCTAAGAGGGAAATTTATAGCAGTGAATTCTTACATCAAGAAAACAGAATAATAAATAACCTAATGTTACAACTCAAGCTTCTAGAAAAAGAAGACTAAGATAATCACAAAACCCATACAAGGGAGGAAATTATAAAGATCAGAGCAGAAATTAATACAAGAATACCAGGAAAACAATACAAAGAATTAATGAATCAAAGAGTTGGTCCTTTAAAAAAATAAACAAAATTGATAAACCCTTAGACAACCTTATCAATGAAAGGAAAGACTAAAATTAATACATTAAGGAATAAAAAAGGTGAAATCACCACAGATCCTTTCGAAATTTGGAAAATCTTCAATACTGACTTCAAAAATCTTTACTCTCACAGGTTGGAGAACACAGAAGAAATGGACAGATTCCTAGAGATGTATGAATTACCCAACCCAAATCAAGAAGATACAAAAATTCTCAATAACCCCAATATCAGTTAATGAGGTGGGAAATGTCATTAAAAATTTAGCAACAAAGAAAAGCTCAAGGCTTGATGGACTCATTGCTAAATTCTGCAGGAAATTTAGAGAAGAGTTAATGCCAATACTCTTCAAACACTCGAATGAAATTAAAAGGGAAGCAATACTTCCTAATTCATTCTTGGAGGCGAGTATTACCCTGATACCAACACCAGAGAAAGACCCAAGTAAAAAAGAACTACTGTCCAATCTCCCTATGCACATAGAGACAAAAATCCTCAAGACACTACCAAGCAGAATTTAACAAATCATCAAGATTATACACTGTAACCAACTGGGATTTATGCTAGGAATGTAGAGATGGCTCAACATATGCAAATCAATAAATAGAATACACCATGTCAACAAAGCTGGACACAGAAATCACACGATCATCTCAATACATGCAGAAAAAGCTTTTGATAAAGTCCAGCACACATTCATAATAAAAACCCTACAGAAAATTAGAATAGATAGTCTTTATCTCTATCTGATAAAATTCATTTTTAACAAACCAATTGCCAACATCATACTAGATGGACAAAAACTAAAAGCTTTCACTCTAAAATCAGAAAAAGACAAAGATGTCCACTATCACCACTCCTTTCCACCATAGTTGTGGAAACATTAGCCAAAGCAATTAGACAAGAGAGAGAAATAAAAGCAATAAGGACATGAACGGAATAATTATCATTATTCTCAGAGGACATAATACTCTACATAGAAGTCTCCAAAAAGTCCACCAAAAAGCTCCTAGAGTTAATGACCAAATTCAGTTGCATGGCTGGATTCAAAGTCAGTACTCAAAAATCAATAGCATTCTTATACACATACAAAAAACTCATTGAGAAGGAAATTAGGGGAACCATACCCTTAACAATAGTATCCAAAAAAATGAAATGCTTAGGAATCAATCTAGCAGAGGAAGGAAAAGAACTGTATATAGAAAATTACAATACTCTGAAAAAGTAAATGAAAGAGGATATCAAAAAGTGGAATGACATCTCTTGTTCATGAATATGAAGTACCAACTTTGTGAAAATGGCCATACTCCCAAAATTGTTATACAGATTTAATATAATCACTAGCAAAATACAATTATCACAGAACTAGAGAAAAAGTTTCTAAAATTTATCTGGAACCAGAAGAGACCTAGAATAGCAAAGGAATCCTGGGCAACAAAGGCAAGGCAGGAGGCATAACAATCCCTGACTTGAAATTATACAACAAAGCTACTATGATCAACTCAGTGTGGTACTGTCCAAAAAAAAAAAAAAAAGACCTGAGGACCCATGGAACAGATTAGAAGATGCACACAACTACAGACACACTTAGCCACCTTATCATTGACAAAGGGGCCAAACATATTCACTGGAAGAAAGATAGCCTCTTTAATGAATGGTGATGGAAAACCTGGCTGTCTGCATGCCAGAAACTAAAGTTAGACCCATGTCTATCTCATGCAGTAAATCAAGGTCAAAATCTTCCAAAGATCTAAATATTAAAACACAATCTATCCAGGCATGGTGGCGCGTGCCCATAATCCAGCATTTGGGAGGCTGAGGCAGGAGGATAGTTGTGGGTTTGAGACCAGCCTGGGCTACCCAGTGAGCACATGGCCAGCCTGAACTGCATAGTGAGACCCTGTCTCAGAAAGAAAAAAAAAAGAAAGAAAGAAACACAATCTAGTGGAAGAGAAAGTAGGTAGAAATCTTTAAGTCATAGGAGTAGGCAGGGAGTTCAAGAACAAAACAAACTGCATGGCAGATACTTCAAAGAATCAACAACTGGCTTTCATCCTATGAAAAATCTTTTGTACATTGAAAGAAATCAACAATAAAGTGAAAAGACAGCCCACAGAGTGGGAAAAAATTAGCTAACTGTCCCTCAGATGAAAGATGTATATTGAGAACATATACAGAATTTTAAGGGTCAGGGATATAGCTCTGTGGCACACCACCTGTCTGCCAAGGGCAAGGGCCTGAGTTCAATTTCCAGTACCAAAAAAAAGGAAAAAAATTATGAAAACTCAGACCCCCCCCCATACTCAAAAGATGCAATCCAAAAATGGGCATCTGAGATGAATATGCCCGTCTCAGATGAAGAAATACAAATGGCAAATAAATATATGGAAAAATGTGCAACATCATTGGTCATTCATGAGATGCAAATTAGCACAACACTGAGATTCCATCTCACTCCAGAAAGAATGACTTTCACCAAAAAATCAACCAACAACAAACGCTGGAAGGGCTGTGAGGAAAAAGGAACCCTTCTCCACTGTTGTTTGCAATACAGAATGGTGCAACCACTTTGAAAATCAGTCTGGAGATTTCCCAAAAAACTGGGATTAGAGGTCCCATTCAACTCAGCATTCCCCTTTTGGGTATTTTTCCAGAAGAATTAAAAACATCATACCACAGCAATATATGCGCCCATATTTATAGCAGCACAATTTGTCATAGCAAAATCTTGGAAACAACCCAAATGCCCATCATACGAGGTTAAGATAGATGTGGTATTTTTATATAATGGAGTACTACTGAGCTATCAAAAAGGATAAACTTGAGACATTTATAGGGAAATGGATGCTACTTGAGTCCATACTCATAAGTGAAATAAATCATCTCATATGTATGTGTTAACATAGTTTTGTGTACCTAGTGTGAGAAGCTGAAAGAGTAAATATCCACAATGTACAATAGATATTGTGAAATGGGAAGAAAATGCTCAAAAGGAAACAGAAACTGAAATAGGGAATGGAGAAAAGAAAGGGAAAAGACAAATATATATATAAAATATATAATATTATGTATAATATATTATATAATATATACATATATATGCATGTGTATATACACACATATATGTATGTATATATGTATATACACACACATACACACACACAATAGTTAAAATAGTTATATTACTAATTGCTATTAGTTCTTTGAAAGGAAAGTTTTGTGCCTATATTTTTTGATCAATTTTTCATGCCTATATCTTGTAATATGAGCAACTACTTTGTACTCATATTACAAATGTACTAACCATTGCTACTCTCCTACAATCTTGTTTTGAAATTTTATACCATTGTTTTTATTATTTATTTTTCTTTTCTTTAAAATAAAAAACCCAGTGTTTATTAATATGTTTTTGTTCTTTTATCTTTAAAATAAAAAAGTTTAATATTTATAGTTAATGAAAATTGAGATTGAAAACATAAACAAATAAAAAAATAAAATGTCACTGAAAAGTCTCATATTTGGAGTTGGGGCCTATTTGGAATGAGTGGAAAAATAGGAGCATGACCTTTGAGGCTTTATTCTTATTCCTTGTCCCCCCTTTTATTTTTAATTCCTAGATGCCATGTGGTTAGCAGCTTTCCTCCACCATGTTATTTCTGCCTTGAAGCTGGTTGTTACAGACTGAAACCATTGAAATTGAGCCAAAATAAACTTCTCTGTTAAGCTGTAATTGGTACTGGGAGTTGGACTGTTGTTATGACTGCACTTGATCATGTTGTTCAGAACCCTTTTGAACTGATTTGAAGTAGGAGTTTGGAGAGGTTTGGAGATGCATGCTAGAGAAGCCCTAGAATACTGTGAACAGCGCTTAATATACAATACCGGTCAGAGCTCAAATACTTTTCTGAGTTCAGAACACTAGAATGCTGAGAGAAATGTGGACAGTAAAGCCACTTTATCTTTGACAATTGGGCCGAACATCCTCACTGGAAGAATGATAGCCTCTTTAACATGTGGTGCTGGAATAATTGGCTTTCTACATTCTAAAGACTGCCTGTGCTGGTGGTATAGTGGTGAGCATAGCTGCCTTCCACATCCTAAAGACTAAAACTAGGTCCATGTCTCTCACCATACACTAAACTAAAATAAAAATAGATCAAAGATCTAATTATTAAAATAGAAACAGTAAGTCTACTGGAAGAGAGAATAGATAGAATTCTTGAACACATAGGTATGGGCAAAAGTTTTATGAACAAAATAGCCTTACCACACAGGAAACATTATAAGACTCAACAACCATATCTCATCTTGTTAAAAAAAAAAAAGCTTTTGCACAGTAAAAGGAATCAACAGAGTGAAAATACAGTGCTAAGTGGGAAAAGATATTAGCCAGTTCCTCAGGCAAAGGAGTAATATGTAGAACATGTGAAGAGCTAAAAAAAAATCAGACTCCGCAAATTTAAAAATCCACTACAAAAATAGACATTTGAGATAAATACACACTTCTCATATCAATAAGTACAAACAGCAGATAAATATATGAAAAGTGTTTAACATCAGTGGTCATTTGAGACATGCAAATTAAAACAATGCTGAGGTTCCATCTCACTCCAGACATAATGGTTATTATCAGGAAATCAACCAATAACAGATGCTTTCAGGGCCTGGTGGGAAAGGAATCCTTGTAGACTGGTGCAATCAGTGTGGGGATTCCTTAAAAAACTAGGACTATCCGGGCATGGTGGCATACGCGTGTAATCCCGCCGCTCAGGAGGCTGAGGAAGGAGAATTGCCACAAGTTTGAGGGCAGCCTGGGCTACATAGTTAGTTCAGGGGCAGCCTGAAATGTACATCTAGATCCTGCCTCAAAAATCAAAAAGAAAGAAAAGAAAAAAAGACTAAGACTAGAGGTCAAATTTGACCCAGCTATTCCCCTTCTTTATATTATCCCAAGTGAATTAAAAGCATCATAGAACAGTGTTATATGCACACCCATGTTTATAGCAGCACAGTCTGTAATAGCTAAAGCTTGGACACAGCCCAAATGTCCACCAACCAATGAATGGATAAAGAAAATGTGTTTTTTAATGCAATGGACTACTACTCAACCATCAAGAAGGATAAATGACACATTTCTAGGTAATTGGGTGTACTATGAGACCATACTTTTAAGTAAAATACATTCGACACGTGTAAATATCACATTGTCTGGTGTGATAAACTGAAAGTGTAAATAAGGATCAAGATGTTTAATAGTATTGCGAGTTAGGAAGAAATTGTTCAAAAGGAAAGTGGAACAGAGGGGGGAGTAAAAAAATGAGAAATTAAGGATAAAATGGAAACAAAGCATTTCAAACAAGCAGGAGAAGAGATATTGAAAGGAGGGGAGGGGAATGGAAAAAGAAAAAAAGAAGAATCAGGATGTATCACGCATAGGTACAAATTTCCTGTGATGAATGTGATCGTTATATGTGTTAGTATTTAAATTATACTAATAAACTTAATTAAAATATAAAATACCTATGTGATTTATCACAGCGTTTGAGTATTAATACATTAACACACTTCGGAGTGTGGAAAACTTACATCCATTTATGTCCCTTTGTATTCCCCACTTTTTAAATACCATTGACTTGTACATCAGATGGTGCTACAATTTTTGTTTCAGTGATCAAGTGTGATTTATAAAACTTTTTGTCAGCTGTGG